AGGAGAGCGTGAGATCCAGAGAACAATGTTGGAGCTGTTAAACCAGTTGGATGGATTTGACTCACGCGGAGACGTTAAAGTCATCATGGCTACTAATAGGATAGAGACACTTGACCCAGCTCTCATTAGACCAGGTGAATTAGTCAGCTTACCCTGTTTATTTCTGGTGTGGGTTTCACATGCTAATTGAATCAAAGTGGACTCACTGGCCAGTAGGCATGGGACGATAACCGGTTTCAAGGTATACCACGGTTTGGAAAAGTCACAGTTTCAAAACCACTTTTTCCCTCGTCGAAAAAGACGAAGTCTGTCGTTTGGGAATTTTTCGGGTAATGTAGACTAACCATGTTCCTTACACAATGATGTTCCGTACAGATGATGTTTTAGCGCCGATCGCTAAATAAATACTTCCAGGTCGTGCATAAACTATATATAATTATTTAGCCTGACATGTTTACTGTTCCAAAATGTTCAATATGTTTCTTAAAAATAATATGTGTTCAGTGGAAAAAGTTGTTTTTTTACCCAGACATTTAAAAATAACATATTTTAGAGCTGTAATCGCAATACCGTGATACCGTGAAACCGTGATATTTTTAATCTAAGGTTATCATACCATCAGAATCTCATACCGGCCCATGCCTACTGGCCAGATGCAAACTCTCTGAAGTCGCAAAAATTGGTCTGAGAGTTTCCTTTGTTTTAAAGTGCACATAATTACATTCAATAAAGGATGAAGTGCATTAATTTGTAGACTAAAAGTAGATGTTCCCTTTGTGTGATTCCACAGGTAGAATCGATCGTAAGATTGAGTTCCCACTGCCGGATGAGAAGACTAAGCGCAGAATCTTTCAGATCCACACCAGCAGGATGACGGTAGCGGATGACGTGACTTTGGATGACCTCATCCTGGCTAAAGAAGACCTCTCTGGTGCTGACATCAAGGTAGCATCTAAAGGCCTGTTTAATTAAATAGATGCATAATCTTGTGCAGTTTGATTACATGCAAAAACAGTATATTGCAGAACAAGATGATGTAGTTCATTTCACCTTGTTTGACTAATTGACCATTTTAATTTAGGTTTAAACGGTCCACCCAAAAATGAAAATTCTGCCGTTATTTACTCAACTTCATGCACTTCCAAACCTGTATGCATTTCTTTTTTTTCTGCAAAGCGTAAAATAAGATATTTAAAAGATTGTTGGTAACCAAGAAGTTTTGGTTCCTATTGACCTCCATTTTTTTGCCCATACAATGGAAGTCAATTGGAACCAAAGCTGTTTGGTTACCAACATTCTTTATATTATCTTTTATCTTATATTTTATGTTCCACCAAAGAAAAGAAAGTCAAGTTTGGAATGACATTAGGGTGAGAAATGATGGCAGAATTTTCATTTTTGGGTGGACATTCTTCAGTGCCTAAAATATGAACTGAACATGAACAAAGGCCATGAATGATTGTGAACAAATTTGTATATGCACTTCATTGTACTTAATAGTGATTGTATGTGTTTTTCTTCCAGGCCATTTGCACAGAGGCAGGGCTGATGGCTCTGAGGGAACGGAGAATGAAAGTTACTAATGAAGACTTCAAGAAGTCCAAAGAGAACGTCCTGTACAAGAAGCAGGAGGGTACACCGGAGGGGCTCTACCTTTAATATGCCATTATCCAGTCTTACACCCTTATTTTTGGTTTAAATATATTAACTCTGATTCCTGACTTAACCCTCTGTTGTTAATTTGTGCTCAATGCCAATTAAATATTTCAGTTCAGAGTTTCTCTGAGCCTTTACTGAATTATCTGACGAATAAAGCATGAGATGTACCTGCCATTGGTTAGGGTTTGGATTACTGTTTCATATTTTCCACTGATGAACTTAAATTTCGTTGGCCGAAAATTAATTTTCAGTTTGGGCCGAAATAGTTTTGGAGGGTCGAAATCATTGGCCATGACCTTGACGTTTAATCAGCACTTTCCGACGGCGCGTTTCGTTGGTGTCCGTGTCTGTTTCGTGCACACAACATACAAGGAAGTTACAACAGGTAAACATGTTAGCTGTGTAGATGCATGGCCTGTTAATATAGATGTTTCGTTTTTAATATATTTTCATTTTAATGATATGTGATATTTTATAGTCGGTGCTTTTTTTCAGTTGATGCGTAAACAAAACTTCACTAAACATTTTATAGCGCGTCTGGCATCCAATAACTGCAATAAGATTGGTTCTTTATTACTTTTTTATTTATTTTTTATATGTCGCTTGACGCTATTAAAGGCAGAGTAAGTGATTTCTGGTAGCCAATGTTGATATTTGAAATCACCAAAACAAACACGCCCCTACCCCAAAAGGGTCTTGCCCCTATTTTGATAGCTCCGCCCCTCCTTAACTCTTTAGTTAGCTAGAAAAAAGTAAATAAATAATTTTAAAAAATCATGTCTGAATAAATCTGTCATGAAGACAAGTTTTCATTACAGCCACAGTTTAAATGTTTACAGGGTTATACTGTTTTACACTGTAAATAATTACCCCAGGGTTAGTAGTTAAAAAATAATTGTCAGGTTTTGAGATTTCACACTGTAAATCATTAAAACCTGGATGAATGTTCGTATTTGCATATTTAGGGCTAATAACTGATACATTGAAAATTGTTCAACATAATTAACTATTTCTCTTAAAGGGATAGTTCACGCAAAAATGAAAATTGAGAAAATGTTGAAAACCTGTAAATTTTGTGTAACACAAAAGAAGATACTTTGAAGAATGTTGATAATCAAACAGTTGCTGGTTCCCATTGACTTCCATATAATTTTTTGTGGTTACCCACATTCTTCAAAATAACTTCTTTTGTGTTCAGCACAAGAAATAAACTCATACAGGTTTGGAACAATTTGAGGTGGAATAAATGATGACAGAATTTTCATTTCTGAGTGAACTATCCACAGATTTTTAGTCTAAATCGTTTCGTTTCAATAGGAATCCGTCTCATCGCTTGAGGGAGAAAGATTTCCTATGCAGATTTTGCAGCTTCTGTGACTTTACAAATGATCCCCAGTCATGACAAAAATATCAAAGAACTTTAATATTGTGATGTTCAGTCCTGGGGACATTTCTGGACATTTTATTGCATGTACATTTTTCTAGTCATGCTTATGTTTCACTGGCTAGATATTGCTCATTGAGCAATTCACCATTGTGTCCCATTTAAATAGTTTTTGGTCATAGACGACATATGTGTACGTTTTGAATGTATAACAGTTTACATCTATCAGATTCACTGGTACCTGAGAAATAAACTGAAATCTCCCTCCGTTAGTAAAAAATCCACACTGACTGGAAAAGTAATAGAAATTCACTGGTCAAAAGTGGCGGAAACCCTGTACAAAGTGTACACTAGTTAATGAAGCATGCATTGTTTTAGCAGGTTCTGTGTTGCTAAACAACTCACCATGACATTCTAGCAGCACATTGTTTGACTTGTAATGCCTGTTTTGGTCTTTCAGTATAATCTTCCATGGTTAATGTGTAGCCTAAAACATTATACTTCAGATAGCAAATATACAGGGTATAGCAATTAATTTACTATTGCAACATCCTTACATAAAACAAATAGCTGAGCTTTTCTCATATAAGCATGTGTAGTTTGTATGTAGGAAATCACACTTTTTGTTTTGTTTCGAAGTTTTATAATAGTTTCATAGTTGGACATTCAAAAAACTTAGGTCTTCAATATCACCAAGTTTGGTCTCCACCTTATATATCAAATATACCATAGTGTAGCAGAACTATCACATAATTAAAAAAAAGAAAATAAAACATGAGGATGTGAGAAGGACCGGACATAAAAATCACAGGAGGTGATGAGATGGGAACAGGGGGGAAAAAAAAGCCAGTTAACCGGTTATATTAGCACTGCAAAAACACTCCACAGATCTCTCGTAATGTTCACTTTGGTCTACATCAAGTCTTTTTCATCAAGGTTTGGAAACTGAGTGGAAAAATGTGCACTGAAAAATCCGTGGCCAGACATTTCACAAAAGACAACAGACAGACACAAATACACAACTGAAAGAGTGAAGGGACCACATTGAAAGAAGAGCTGAAATAATGTTCCCTTTCAAAAACGGCATCCAACGGACACAGTAAACTGACACATGCCTCTTTTTCTTTGCAGCGTTCACGTTTGTAGTGCAGTTCAAAGATGGGACGACAAGAGACGACGATGTGAGTGGAAAAGCATTCATTTCTATGGCTCACACACTATTATTCAGATAAATACAGAAAATCTGTTAGAAATTGAGTTAAAATATCCACTTGCGTTCTCCTCATAACGATCAGGTGAGGAACGACAGCTTTATTAAAAATAAAAACAATTGTGACAGTCATACGTGTGATTCATAGATAATGCTCATTTTCAAACGTGTAGTGAATTATGTTTTAGTAATCTTAGTTTAGAGTCACGCTACACAAATAGAAATAGACATCTGCGTCAGACATTTTAAAAAGGGTGCTTAAATTGCTGCGTTTTACCTATTTAAATCTCTTTTGCTTTCCTGTTCCTTCCTTCCTCTTTTTCTTAAATCACTACAAGCATTGCACCAGCAAATTAAAAACAAAACACAAACGAAAGCAAAGAACATACTCTGTAAAGACAAATACAATCATGATTGCATTCCTTTATTTTGCAACAAACCCAAATTATTTGTCGTATTAGGGGCAAAAACCCAAAAGGGAAGCTCAGGTTTGTTGTTCGGTCGGGGTTAGAGGTGTGTGTTTGTGTGTTTCCGTATGTTGGGGAACGCAAGAGGGTCGTGGTGTAGTGTCAAGTGACGCCGACTGTTCTTCACTCATCTTCGTCCTCCTCTTCCTCCTCTCCGTCAGACAGAGTTGGACAAGCGGCAAGCTGCCGGTAACCGTCCAGCCACTTCTCCACCATCTGAGTGACAAGCGGGTGGTTCCGCCTCCTGGAGCTCTTCTGCATGGCCACCAGAACAATACAATCATGATTGCATTCCTTTATTTTGCAACAAACCCACATTATTTGTCGTATTAGGGACAAAAACCAAAAAGGAAAGCTCGGGTTTGTTGTTCGGTCGGGGTTAGAGGTGTGTGTTTGTGTGTTTCCTTATGTTGGGGAACGCAAGAGGGTCGTGGTGTAGTGTCAAGTGACGCCGACTGTTCTTCACTCATCTTCGTCCTCCTCTTCCTCCTCTCCGTCAGACAGAGTTGGACAAGCGGCAAGCTGCCGGTAACCGTCCAGCCACTTCTCCACCATCTGAGTGACAAGTGGGTGGTTCCGCCTCCTGGAGCTCTTCTGCATGGCCACCAAAACCCCGCCCTCCGTAACACAGCAGTCCATCCACTGCCTCAGCATCCGCTCCTGCTGCTCCTCCGTCCCCATCTGACGGACACACACGTCAAGGTATATCAACAACAGCTCATAAACAGCTTCCAAAAACATGTATTTTCCATTTAATAGCAGGGATCAAACTAATTAAGCGTGCGTTTATATGACACCATTTTCAACTAAAAAAAAGTGACATTTTTCAAAACATTTCTTATGCGTTTTGGTTGTTCGTTTACATGACAACGGCGTTTGGGGGGCCTGAAAAGGCAGACTTTTGAAAACGTTTCAAAGTGCAAGTCTTTGAAAACAATTATTTGTTCAGTCTACATCGCCAACTACTGGCCAGGCGTGCATAATACAGTGTTTTTAGTTGTTTTCAAGGATCGTTTTGACAACATGTGTACGTGAAACATTTCAAAAATGCAAAAGGAAAAACTTCCGTTTTTAGTACATCGTTTGTGCCCTAAAAATAAAAATATTTTTAATAAAAATTATTAAAAATTTTGCCACAAAAGAGCATGATGTTGAACTTTCAGCAAGTTCTAAAAAACATCTGGATACTAGAATGAATTGTTTGACATCAATAAAGTAGATACGCTTATTATTTATTGATTAAGGCATCCAGAAAAACATCCAGAATACACATTTAAGAGTTATTTTATTACACTTTATCTATTTGCCTCTGTAGACTTCAATTACAGTCAGTGCTATTTTAGTATTTCACTTAGGTACTATTATAGTTTTTATTAATATTCTGAATTACTCTTTATTTTTAAATGTAAAATTTTCATTTTTAGCAATTTTGTTGTGCATTTTTGTCGTTTTTAGTAGTTTTTTTTAATGTGTCCATATCAATTGAATTAATTTTTTATTTCAGTTTTAGTTATTTTAGTACATCAATTTAAACTGAATTAAAATGAGAAAAGTTGCCCAACTAGTTTCAATTTATTTTATTTTTTTATATGTTATTTTATTTTATTTCAGTAAACATTTACTGAAATACTGAAAGTAACGGAAATGTTTTGTATGGTATTAGTTTTAATGAACTATAATGAATATTTTCTCAAATGTTTTCTGAAATCTCTTACACACGCCAAACTTTACAGTTTATTTCTATCAATATTCTGAAGATTTTTACAGAAGGGTTTGTTTATATATCATTCGCATGATTTATATAACATTTTATTCCTAAAAACATGGTGCAAATGTATTTTTTTTTGGCTGTTGACAGTATTTTTTGATTTGACTCTAAAAACTTTTAACTCTAATATGTCAACAAAATTAAATAAGAATTTTGAACCTGGCTTCATCCAAGATTCAGATTTTTAGAATGTTTAGTTTTAGAATGTATGCAAATTAGTGCATATTTCAACATAATATTTTAGAAAACTTGTAATGCAAAACCGTTGTCTTAATGTACTGTGATTAATGAACCGGGGAAAGTCTCTGTTAGTCAGATTTTTTTTATCCTATTCACTTGTTATGTCTTGCCTTAAAAAAAAATAAAAAATAAGGCTACAATACAATCTAGCCTCCACACAAAATAAAAAAGACAATAATTTTGTATATTTTTTCACACTGAAAATTCAGACGTAGTGTAAGATTCAGATTTAATGTTTAGTTTTAGAATGTATGCAAATTAGTGCATATTTCAACATAATATTTTAGAAAACTTGTAATGCAAAACCGTTGTCTTAATGTACTGTGATTAATGAACCGGGGAAAGTCTGTTAGTCAGATTTTTTTTATCCTATTCACTTGTTATGTCTTGCCTTAAAAAAAAATAAAAAATAAGGCTACAATACAATCTAGCCTCCACACAAAATAAAAAAGACAATAATTTTGTATATTTTTTCACACTGAAAATTCAGACGTAGTGTAAGCCTTAAACCCTCATATATATTCATGCTCTACAGAGTGATTTCGTGTCAGCAGAGCTGTTCTCACCTCTTGTGCTGACAGAAAGTGAATATGTAACAGCTTTCGTTCGCTGTCAACCAGCGGCAGGAAAGTGACAGTGACATCATCGTCTGTGTTCAAGTTGGCGCCCGCGCCTCGATTATCGTAGCCGTCGTTCTCCATGGCAACCAAGGCGGAAAAGTGTCCGCGCGTGTAACCCAGGGCGATAGGGCTCTTCCAGCAGAAACTCTGCTCCCATAATAGAGGCAGGTATACACCTAGAAGATAACAGCCAAAGCAAACAGTAATTACAGAAACTCTGTGTGGCTGACCCCAAAAACCAACACCGTGTTTGAAGTCAGCAGAGTGTTGACAGAGAGTCATTATAGTAGCAATAACAGCCTGTCAGCGGCAGATATAATAGATCACACATTTCTTGGTCAACGTGGCCAAACAGCTCAGAGAATAATGCTAATGTGCTTACACTAATCATCACTGTGAATACTGATAAAATGAATATAATCGTCAGATGTGTGCAGTGACAAGCTCTTTATAATTAGATCAACTCATCGGCCAAGTCAATTATTCGGAAGAGATTTGGCCATTTGTTGACTTTTTAGAGGTAGATTTTTGGTAGCAGGCAACTGCACCTATTTTTGTGATTTACAGAAGTCTAAAACAGCCTTGTCAATGGATAATACATATTTTCTGTTTCTCTATATATTTTTGAGTAAACATTCCTTGTATAAAAACCTCATGTATAAATATATGAATATATAAATTATATATAAAATTAGAATTTATATACACACTACCCCTCAAAAGTTTGGGATTGGTAAGATTTTTATTTGATCAGCATTTATTTGATTATTTGAAATATTGTATATTATTACTATTTAAAAGAATTGTTTTCTATTTGAATATATTTTCAAATATAATTTATTCCTGTGATGTCAAAGCTGAATTTTTAGCATTATTACTCCAGTCTTCAGTGTCACATGATCTTTCAGAAATCATTCTAATATGCTGATTTGCTGCTTAAGAAACATTTTTTATTATCATGCTGATCATATCATGTGATCACACTTGTCACTTAATATTTTTGTGGAAACAGTGAAACACTTTTTTTCAGGATTCTCTGATGACTAAAAAGTTCAAAAGAAGAGCATTTATAAAAAAATTATAAATTATATATACAATATATATATATATATATATATATATACAGAGTGAAAAATTTAAGGGGGTCTGAATACTTTCCGTACCCACTGTATATAATATTTTATATAATAAATTATATATTAAAAAAAAAAAATTACTGACTTTTGAACAGTAGTAAATCTATATCTGTCTATATAGACTGTGATCATAGGCCAATCTGTCCATTTAGATATGAGAAACAGCCATTGTGAAACGAGCAAACCAAATGAAATTGAAATAGCTACACACAAGCGTAGCGCCTTTAAACACAGCTTACCCTGAAAGCGTGTATATCCCAGCGTCTCTCCTCTGAAGCTCTTGTAATATTTCACACCGTACACTATGATAGGCCTCCGAAGGATGTGTGCCAAGACAAACACGTGTGTCTGCTCTAAACTCGCACCCGGCTGCAGGAAGACGAGACAAGAATACAGAGACAGAGAGAGAGAGAGCAAGAGAACCACAATAAAATGTTAAAACAACTTTTACTAGGGAAAACTCAATGTTGTGTTTCCCAAACTCATCTGAATATTTTATTATGAAAAAAATAATAATTCAACATGAAACAGCATATGCAACCCATTTTACTGTCATATTTTGACACATTGATGATATTCAATGATCCATTCAAAGCAGCCAAAAAAGGGAAACTGTTTAGAGCTGGAGTGAGTTGTTACATCTTGATGAAAGCTTTTGAAGAAAAACATTTAGTTCCTTTCGAAAAACATGCACTGATGAATCGTTCACAATAAGACAAATGTGTATTCTGAAAGTAAATATGGTCAGTTGTGATGTCGTGTTGACTTTAAGCACAATGAAACTCAAAATCTTCCATAGAGCAGTATGGAAACAACGCTATAAAAAGTGCTCATTGCTCAGACATCTGTCCAGGCCTCATCCTCTCGGGTGGGATGTGTGTCTGCATGTGTGTTTCTGTATGAGTCAACTGCAGGTATCTCAGTAGGTGGTGAAATATTAATGTTTTCTCATCTGGTTGCTTACCTGACTAGCTAATGACAGTATAAACGCCCAGTCCTCCTGCCACTGCTCCTCCCGCAGAGAGAAATGCAAACCAAAGCTCTGGGAATACCAGGACTCCCACTCTTTCCAGCGAGTGTAGAACCTGGAAAACACACGCATTGTATCTGTGATAAAATCCAATTACACCAATGTTAATAAACCCAACTGCAGATAAATTACAACAATGACTAGATTTGCTTAAAGGCATACTCCACCCCAAAATGAAAATTTTGTAATTAATCACTTACCCCCATGTCGTTCCAAACCCGTAAAAGCTTTGTTCATCTTCGGAACACAATTTAAGATATTTTGGATAAAAACCGGGAGGCTTGTGACTGTCCGATTGACTGCCAAGTAAATTACACTGTCAAGGTCCAGAAAAGTCTGAAAGACATCGTCAGAATAGTCCATCTGCCATCAGTGGTTTAACCGTAATGTTATGAAGTGACGAGAATACTTTTTGTACGAGAAAAACAAACAAAAATAACGACTTTATTCAACAATTCGTCTCCTCTGTGTCTCTCCGCATCACCGTAGCTCCAGTTTGGAGAACATCCGCTGAACGCAAACTGCGTACGCTATTCTGCGTCAGCCGCGCTGCACGGATGCGCTGTTTTCGTTCAAATCAAAGCATAAATACACATAGAAAACGTATCCTTGTGTCGCAGCTGACACAGAAGAACATATGCTGCTTGCGTTCAGCGGATATTCTCCAAAATGGAGCTACGGTGATGCAGAGAGACACAGAGAAGACGAATTGTTGAATAAAGTCGTTGTTTTTGTTTTCTTCGCGTACAAAAAGTATTCTCGTCGCTTCATAACGTTACGGTTGAACCACTGATGGCAGATGGACTATTCTGACGATGTCTTTCATACTTTTCTGGACCTTGACAGTGTAATTTACTTGGCAGTCAATCGGACAGTCACAAGCCTCCCGGTTTTCATCCAAAATATCTTAAATTGTGTTCCGAAGATGAACAAAGCTTTTACGGGTTTGGAACGACATGGGGGTAAGTGATTAATGACAAAATTTTCATTTTGGGGTGGAGTATCCCTTTAAGAAAACATGAGTGGTGCAAGGTTTTTGCAGGTCTTAAAAAGGTTTTAAAATGTCTTAATTCACCCTTCCTCTAATTAAGGCCTAAAAAAAGGTCTTATATCCGAGCAGAAACCCTGCCATTAAATGCTGCTTGCACTGCAAAAAAATGAACATCTTCCTCACTATTTTTGTTTTGTTTTTCAATACAAATATTTAAACATCCTTAAATTAAGATACATTTGCTTGAGATGCAAATTAAACATATGAAGTCTTATCTTCTGAGAAACTGAACAAAATGAAGTGAGTTTATGCTTAAAAAAAAAACAAGTATTTGCCAATGAGGAATGAAAACTTGTTCTTTGTTCTTGTTTGAATTATAAACTTTATTTTGATCAATTTCTGATTCAAGTGATGTCTTTTTGCTTCTCAAGTAAATGTATCTTGATTTAAGTATCTTTACTTATGAAGAACTGATGAAGAACATCACTTTTTTTTTGCAGTGTGATCAGAAGGTGTAGTGAGTTATTTCCATGTTCTAATTGTTGGAAGCACAGCTTTTCAAGCCATATGATTTATTTTTGTAAAATGAATGAAAAAGTAATGAGATCTTTTAGAAGTTGTATTTTCAAACTTTGAAGCATTGCTAATACAAGACATTTACATTTAGACAACACATTAAGCTCCATTCAGTCTATTCCTTTAATTTCTTTTACTTGATCTTAAAAAGGTCTTAAATTTACCTTCATAAAACCAGCAGAAACCCTGTGGTGCTGCCCATGCCAAACAATACTAGGGTGTTTTGGGTAGTTAACGTGAACCAGGGTTATTACAGGTAACTAAAACCCTTAAAACATTTATTATATAAAATAAAAATGTATAAAAAGTATACAGACATAAAAAACTAATAAAAAAAAAGATTAAACAAAATTACTAAAACTTTAACCCAAATTAAAATAAAAAGAGAAAATAAAAAATAAACATGACGTGATGTAAACCCAACCTGCTAATTTCCAGTCTTACCAGTGAGAGCAGTCGTGTAAGCTGTCGTTGAGGCTTTTTCTCAGGACAGAGTCTTTGTCATAAATTCCCCACGTGGCTTGTAACACTGAATCCAGTAGGCAATCTCCAGCGGTTCTGTTCCACAGAGCATACAGCCGGCTGTCCAGACGCGTGCCCAGCTCCAGAGACCAGTTAATGATGGGAGACTCCTCTTCCAGCTCTGAACACCAAAATAAATCAGTTTCTCTTTGCACATCCAGTGATAAATTCTGTTACTGCTAGCTGCACGCTGCTCTTCAGGGATGCAACCCAAATAGACCAGCTAAGGCATTTTCTAGATCAGTTTCTTCTCAACTGGTGGGTCGCGACACAAAAACAGGCCGCAAGTTTGTTCTGATACTAAATGCAAATAATAAAATTCAACTAACTGTATAATTGGGACCGCAAAATCAAATGTGCCGAATAATTTTTAAAAGGTAGGGTCAGAACGCCTCCCATATCTTTTGATGTTGATTTCAAAGGCTGTGACCCCAATCTTGGCACAATTTTACAATTTACTTGGTAGAAGCTAGTTAAATTAGATCCACCCCTATGCATTCAATACAGGTTTACTTGCAAACAAGGCCAACGTTGTGCCGGCCACAGTTTACAATCAAAACATCTATGGTCCTGAAGTAAAACTAGTTGAGGAGCTCAATTGTTTAATGTGCTGCCCATTATTTTCTGGTTTAAAGTACAAAATAAATGCTAAAAAAAGTAACTTCACCTTTTTGTACATCTCGATCCAGGACCTCATCGAACAGTTTTTCTTGAACATTTGGGGGAAGGTCTTCAATATCTGAAAAAGAAAAAGAAAAATCAAAATCTCTGCAGTGAAAACCCTACCGTCTGTTAAATGGGACATATTATGGATTTCTCTTCCACGTTTACACAGTTTTCATTTCAAGGCATAGATCATGTCGTATTTCAGGTCACTTTTTACAGAAATACATTTCACGCCCTGTCTTTTTATTTGTACTTACTTTCATGAGGGTTATTATAGTTAAATAAAACCATAAAAAAGTATATTACTTGAAATAAAATAAACTTTAACTGAAATAAAATTAAATATATATATATATATATATAAAAAAATACAAATAATAATACTACTAATTATTTAATTTCAACAGTTCTCATTTTGATTTTGTTTAACATGATGTACAAAAATAACTAAATAAAAAATTTATAAAAACTACTGGTATATTAAAAAAAATAAAAAATAATAATAAATAATAAAAAATGACAAACACAAAACTAGTCAAAATATTAATTAAAAATATATTTGTTTTGTTTTATGTTGGCTGTTACATTTTGTCAAGGTGTATTTCAATTCATATTTCATGATGTTTTACATTAAGACATATTTCATGTGATATTCACATTACATTCTAGACTATAAAAATGAATGTATTTCATACCTTTTATGTATTAATGCTCATATTTCATTATACTTGTATTTATCTGTTATATCCCTAAATGATTCAGAACTAAATGGCAATGTTTTTGTTAGCAGGAAACCTTGATTATATATATTAAGGTAAAAGTTAAAATCATTATTTTATCTTATTTGAAAGATAAGATTGTTTTAGTTAACTATATTAACCCTAATTAAAATACCTCAGACAATCAGCCCACTCGGAATAGGTCTTTGTGGCTCGTGGCCACACATAAGATCCTGCGGCAGAAGGGAAATTTTTGTCTTTAGAAATTATGACTGATCACCTGCTGGTAATGTGAAGGTGACGAGGTCAGTGAAGAAGTAACAGGGAAACTCTCCTTTACGCCTGTGAAGTGCTGCTGCCACCTCTCTGCGGATCTGTTCTGTTAACTCAGGACACACCAGAGCCGGTATACACTTCGCCGTCTGCTGAGACACCTGAAGTACATTCATAAATATAGAATCATTTTACAATATCACATTGTGAGACGAATTCTCTCCGTTTATGCATGTAAACGTTTGACCTCCGTGAGCAGCACCGCGAGCATGTCCTGTCTTTGGAAGCGGATGGCCAGATGCACCAAAGTAAAACCAGCGTCAAACGCGGATGGACGGTTGAGAATTCGCACCTCGTCTGCGGTCAGCTGACGTGCGATATCACCACCGGATGACTTGTACGCCTCCACAGCGGCCAGATCCCCCTCCACAACACCTGATGAAAGTGTGCGTTACATATGAGTGGGTTGACTTCCTCGCTCACAACTCTTTGAAGTTGCAGTTTAAATTTCAGATTCAATTCCTATCAGACCTATATGAGCCATAGGTATTTCCCAGAAGACAGTGACACTGCTTTAGAGATCAATGATTTCATACTCTGATGCAGGAAAGCAGAGTGCTAACAGAAGTGTTCCCTAGCAGCAGAGCCCATGAGACAAAATCTGTCAGTTTGCATCAAACCATGTGCATGCAACCCGTCCCCCACCGGCTTAGTGATGAAAATAAAGGTTTGATACCAGCTGATATCAAAAGATTCAGCTTTGAATTTCACCTTCACATCACAGTAAAACATGCCAATCAAATAGTGAGCCAAAGAGAGTAGATATTGTACAGAAGTCAAAATAATTATTTGTACACAAGTAACACTTCATAATTTCTGTAACACTTTACAATAAGGTTAACAAACATTAACTAACAATACTTCTAGAGCATCAATTAATCTTTGTTAATGCTAATTTCACTACTCTCAAAAATTGTATCTGTTAACATTAATGCATTAACATAGACAATCAAAGACTATGCTGTAATGATGCATTGTTAGTTTCATGTTAGCTAATGCATTAATGTTAAAAAATCAGATCTTGTCGTAAAGTGTTACCATAATGTCAATGCACTGGATATTTAAGAAATGTGTGATATTTATTTATGTCTAAATTTAAGTATATGTGCACTACCGTTCAAAAGTTAAAAATGAATAGTTCAATAGATCAGAAGTAACAGTAAATACATTAATAATGTTACAAAAGATTTAAAATAAATGCTGTTCTTTTGAACTTTCTATTCATCAAAGAATCCTGAATAAAAGGTATCATGTTTTCCACAAAAATATTAAGCAGCACAACATTTTTAACACTGAAAATAATAATAAGAAATCACCAAATCAGCATATTAGAATGATTTCTGAAGGATCATGTGACACTGAAGACTGGAGTAATGATGCTGAAAATTCAGCTTTACATCACGGGAATAAATTACATTTAAAAATATATTACAACAGAAAACAGTTATTTAAAACTGTAATAATATTTCACAATATTACTGTTTTTACTATATTTTTGATCAAACAAATGCAGTCTTGGTGAGCATAAGAGACTTATTTCAAAAACATTAAAAAGTATCCGCTGTCCTTAGGTTATCCCGTTCCTGCTCGTTCACTATCGACAGGGACATGGCACTCTCTGCCTCCGAATCCTGCTGAGGCGCCTCGGGCGAACTGCTGGGTTTAGGGTGGTCGCAAACCACGCACCTCAAACTCTTTGGCCAGTTCTCATAGGTGCAAGCCAAGCACGGCCATCGTTGCGCGTGCATGTTGAGCCGATTCCGGTCGTTATACTCCTCGCATGGGTCCGAGGTGACCGGGGATGGTCTGGACCCCGAGTCCGATGTCTGTGGGGCTTCAGACGGACTGAGCGGGCCGTGTTGGGAGCCCTGCTGCCTCTGACTGAGGCACTGCGTGCAGCGGATTGCGCGGGGCCAGTTCAGATAGGTGCACATGTGGCAGGACCATTTGCTGCTGGTCTCTGGCAGCTCGTCGGCGATCCGGACCCGAGGCCGGGCGCTAGAGTCAGGGCAGATGAGCTGGGTGGTGCACAGTTGCGGGTCCAGGCTGGAGCTGCTCTTGAAGGGTTCCTCGGTGATGATGGGCGCGTTGTGCCTTTGGGCCCGACACATGGTGCATTTGATGGCGGACGGCCAGTTCTCGTAGGTGCAGTACTCGCAGCTCCACTTCAAGCCAAAATCTGTCATCCTCGCCGCTCACGCTCACAGCACCTCCAGTTTCTCCTGCAATAGTCACAGACAGGCAAAGTTTAGTTCGAAAATAGAAATGATGTTGATATACAGTGGGATCCAAGTCTCAGAGTGAAATTACTCTAAACTATTACCATTTTTCATTACAAATGTATAAAAATAAATGTAATACGTTTTTTAAAAAAATTACATTTTGGAGTCAGTAAGTTTAAAAAAAAAAAAGAAATTACAATTTTTATCCAGCAAGGATGCATTATATTGATCAAAAGTGACAGTGAATACATTTACATTGTTACAAAAAAATTATATTTTCACAAAAATAGATTAGCATATGATCATTGAATTACTGAAATAAATGAACTTTTCCACGACATTCTAATTTATTGAGATGCACCTGTATATATATTTTAAAGAAATTAATACTTTTATTCAGGAAGGACATATTAATTAATCAAAAGTGACAGTAAAGACATGTAATGTTCCAAAAATATATTTTTTAAATAAATGGTGTTTTTCTTTCTAATCAGTTCTAATAAAACTGTATCAAGGTTTCCACAAAAATATTAAGCAACACAACTGTTTTCAACAATGATGATAAGAAATGTTTCTTGCGCAGCAAATCAGCATATTAGAATGATTTCTAATAGGATCATGTGACACTGAAGACTGGAGTAATGAAGCTGAAAATTCTTTAAATCACAGGAATAAATTGCATTCATATTCACATAGAAAACAGTCATTTTAAATTCTAATAATATTTCACAATACTACTCTTTTTACTTTAATCGTACAAACCCCAAACTTTAACTTAAAACATTGATTTAATTTTAGAACTCTATTTGGCTTGTCCCCAATTGCTAAAATTTGATTTAATCCACAAATTGAGGAAAAACCTGATGATTCATGTAATGCAGCAAGGTTTGAGACTGTTCCAAAGACATCTTGTGTTTCAATGGACCTTCTGTACAAAGGAGTTACATGGTCGATGTCACAAATTTGCTTACATTTGATTAGTGACCTAGAAATACTGCAGGATATTTTTACATTGAACATTTTCATTGGTATAATTGTTGAAATCCCAAATTCCAGATTTTCAGTGTTGTCCTACATTTTAGGACCCCGCTGTAATACAGTTGCTTACAATTTAATACAATAATTTTTCTGAAGTAACACATAAATATAGTATATGAATATGGTGATCTATTAAGTACCATGGTAAATATAAAAATATTGCATTACCATCTGATACCACTGTACTACAGTTTCCTTTTTTTGGTTGACTTTGACTATTATAAGTTAGCTTGATTAAAATGATGACAAAAAGCTTAAGGATGCATAGGGTTGACAAAAATAAACATAACATTTAAATCAGCATAAATCATAATGTGTGAACGACCTTAATCTTTCCACTTGCTTCTGTAATAAAAAAGCACAATACATTAATTCTGAAAGGCTTTTTAAGCCAGAAGTTGTTCAGGACTCTGGATTATTCCTGACAGGTGGGCAACGACAGAGATGAATCCAGCTCACTGGGGCAAACGGTCACATCCTTTGACCTACATTCCTACACTCTCATTTGGTTATTGGACTAGATTTTGGTTATTAACATTTGTTTAAAAAAAGAGACGATTTTTTTACTATGGCCTAGATTTCCCTGACTATAGTGGTAACTTTGTAAAGTGATATTATGAAGATGGTAATAGTGTGGTACTGAATGATTCAAATAAATGCAGTCATGATGAACAGAAGAGACTTTTTTAAAACACATTAAAAATCTTACTGATCCCAAACTTTTGAACTGCAGTGTGTGTGTGTATTATATATATATATATATATATATATATATATATATATATATATATATATATATGGAATAAAACAATCAAGCAAGCCAGTTTCGGAACACAAATAAATAACTGCTATACGTTTTATATTTCACACAAATTAAACTTTCAAAAATGTACGGCAATATAGGTTTTGCCTTATGAAAGTAAAGTAGGTTCAATGTTTTGAAGGGTCATAATCTGTCAGATTAGATAAGGAGCTGTCAAACTGCTGGACGCGCCTCTGGACAACGCAAAAATGCCATTTAGTTATCTCGGTAGGTTTTGACACATACCTCTTATTACACGACTGGAAACCTGGCTTTAACGGTGAGTGGAGTTTTTCTATAACGGGCGCTGGAAATGGAATGTGAGAAGCATTTCCGCCGCTACAGTGTAGAAAGTTCAAATGCATACAACTCAAATGTATCCAGCACAAACTCTGCGCTGATACACTGTGAACACTCTCGGCTCGCTTCGGAATTCCACACCAAGGTGTCGATTTTACCCGAACTACAACAACACCATAAAAGAGCTCCGGTTTGTATCTGCACTGTAAATAAACACAAACAGCTACTTCAGCTCAAGACCGTGGACTGCCCATTGACATTTTCACTTCCTTAAAATACAAATAAATATAAAATAAATACATAAATAAATATTTTCTAAAAAAAAAATTATACGCGAGCATTTTAGGAAACTCAAATAAGGTGCATTAATTTGCCCTGTTGCATATACTGTTACAGTGACCCCCCCCCCCAGAAATCTCAAGG